AAACCTGAATATCCGACTGGCCTAGACATTTATCATTTTTAAATGGAAATCCATTAATAAAACCATTTGCGATCATAAATAAACTTAGCATTTCCACATTTGTCGGCCTATCTATTTGTTACATTATATATTGATTATCCCATTCATTTCGGCTATATATTGATTTGTTTATTTCCTTGATTATTTCCTTTTGAGTTTCACTCTCGTCTATTATTTGATTTTCATGCTTCTTTAGCTCTATAATTTGGCGCAGGACAGATCGAGTTGATATTGTTGAAGTCCTCTTCTGGATTATAAGAGGGAAGAATGCCTTTATAATAATATTTGCCCATTCGTTAAAGATGACTTTAAAGGTCAAAAACCAGCACAGAGTGTTGACAATTAACTCGAGTTGACTGAAAATTATTTTTCTTCTGCTTTTGTTTTTTTTAAAAGCTCTTAATGGTTTTGTGCTAGTACTCTTTATTGATTATAGGTTTCTTTCTTCTTGATAAAGTTCCTAGCTATGTACTCTTTCATTAGATAGTTTTTAAGCATCCGAGTATCATTTAATTTGCAATTTTCTCACCTTGTTACAGATGAATAACAATTTATTTCAACTAATAAATTTTATTGACTTTCGATACTGGCATAACTCGATCAATTCATAAACTTCACCATGCCAAACCTATGAATTTAATGAGCTTTGATTGTATTTAACAATTTTAACGATTCATCTCTTGAAGTAGGTTATCATCTTTTTTTTTGTTTTTTTTTAGCTTAGAGATAGATTTCTTTTTATTGATGAATCAACTGCTATATAAAAAATAAATGCATATCAAATGATAAAAAAGTGCCAATTTACTTTGTTTTTTCCGCCTGTGTTTTTATTGGATGTAGATGTGGATGATTCTTCATTATCTTCAAATTCGTTTACAAGCAATTCATATCTTGTTGTCACTAATGTGTTATTTTTTATGCTATTCCATTCTATGGTTTACATAGAATTATCAATTTTTCTTGATAGCTACCAACCCCTCTAACCACCGAAAAAATAAGAGCCCTTTTGGTGACAGGCTCGACATTCGAAAATCTTTGACCTTTGTGCTGTTAGTATTACAGGCGCTATTATGTATGACTTTCTTCATTAAGATACTATTTTTAAATGATGAACTTTTATTAGAACAGACGTAGGAAAATCACTTTTATTAAGAATATTGGTTGCTGGAGAGATGTTAACTGTATAATTGTTGCCTTGAGAATAAAAAAAAATTTTAATAATAATAATAATTGGTTGTATTATTTATTATTATTATTACACGAAACACTCCCAAGTAGAATAGATGTTATTTCAAAGAATTTATTGGTGAATGCATTTTTTATACTTTTAATTTTGAAATAATTCAACTATAAATGTAATGAATGATATGAACAAATGGTTTTATTAAT